CGAGGAGAATTTAAACATATGTAACAAAAAAAAAAACGTATGTAACAAAAAAATGAAACACCTTTTTGGAAAGCCCATTGCATGCCAAGAGAAAGAACTCTCATGCCGTGCCCAAACCTCAAAGGAGCTGCACATGGTTTACATACAAGATGTCTTAACCTTGTGCCGGCAAGTTGATAGCCAAATGGCCGAAGCCAACAGTCACCCACATTAATGAAGGCATCGCTCACGACGCCCTTCACTTGCTCGTGTACAAAGACTGCTCCACCATTTACGACATTATCAGGGAGTCATTCATGACTTCTTTGCGCAAACACGTACACGGACACAAGGAAAAGAGGCAAACAACACGGGCGCAAACTCACAACTGGTTTATTTTGAACAACGAACTGTACTTATATCTTCACGTAGCCCACACGCCCCCCCATCGGTGGATCCAGGAACAAACGAGATAACCCAAAGCAAGCTTATTCAGCGCTTCGTCATGATAAGAACCACGAAAAAACGGTAAAAAATTGAAGAGTTCACGCATCTGCAGACGGATTGTAGCACGTGCCTTTCAAAAAGTGAAATTCTTTATCGGACAAGGTGACGGAAGCTTGGCTAACACATTTTTCTCCCAAGTTTCTAATATGGAATGCTTCAATCAACTCCCTGTTAATTTTTCTCTTGTGAGTTGACAAAATCTTCGTGTCTGTAAAAATTGGTACGCACCCACAAGACTTGCAGTGATCCACCAGATGTGTTCTTCCTGAACTACGTAATGCCGAGTCATGCTCCCTCAATTTTTACAGACACGAAGATTTTGTCAACTCACAAGAGAAAAATTAACAGGGAGTTGATTGAAGCATTCCATATTAGAAACTTGGGAGAAAAATGTGTTAGCCAAGCTTCCGTCACCTTGTCCGATAAAGAATTTCACTTTTTGAAAGGCACGTGTTACAATCCGTCTGCAGATGCGTGAACTCTTCAATTTTTTACCGTTTTTTCGTGGTTCTTATCATGACGAAGCGCTGAATAAGCTTGCTTTGGGTTATCTCGTTTGTTCCTGGATCCACCGATGGGGGGGCGTGTGGGCTACGTGAAGATATAAGTACAGTTCGTTGTTCAAAATAAACCAGTTGTGAGTTTGCGCCCGTGTTGTTTGCCTCTTTTCCTTGTGTCCGTGTACGTGTTTGCGCAAAGAAGTCATGAATGAGTACCAACTCGCCCAACTTTCAGTACTGTTATCAGGGAGTGCTGAAGTTTCAAAGAAGCAAAAAGCCGACATGTTACACAGCAATTTGTTCAGCTCCCTACCACTGCTGCCACGTCGTCGTGCAAAGATGTCTAGATCCAGCCGCCGCCCTGTACCAAAAACTTCCTGCGTCTCGTGCGGCGTAATATCGAGGCAGCAACTCTATCTGCTCCCCAGGCTAATTCTCACGAGGAGGCCCGCCCGACAGTGTCATTAATTCAGGCCGCCGTGCGCGAAGAACTGGCGAATGCAGGCATCCAGCCTGTATGTGCCCAAAGTCGTTCTACGTCAGCCCTGCTCCATACTACCAGCCACAACTGACTTATTCCGGGTACCATGATTCGAACCAGTGGCGCACGCGAGAAGACGGGTCGATATGCTTCAACTGCAATGGCGCCGGTCACATTTCCCTCTATTGTCGCTATCGACGGCCATCGTCTCCTCGTGCACCATACTGTCCAGACGACACTTCATCCTCCCCTTTGCACGGCAATCCACTGAACACTAATGCCCGAACATCGACCCCACATTATGAGCCGTCGCCGTCTCCCCAGACCCAACGACTTTCTCGGTTGCTTATGTCCCGTCGCTCCCCCTCACCGTCCTTCCTTGGGAAAACGGACCAGTGCAGCTCCCGAAAGGTGATGCTGCCTTGACTGATCGACTCGGAAATCCCCTGTTTAACTCTGCATCTCGACAAAGCTTATGGATGTAGATGTAGAGGGCATGCCTGTTTCAGCGCTCATCCACACAAGGGCCCAATAATCATTGATGAGTGCTCACCTTTCTCGTCGTCTTCGTAAAGTCGTTACACGCGCCTCATCACCTGTTGTTCGCAAAGCCATTAGCCGTACACCTACCGTCCTTTGAATGTGCTTTGCGCATGTGAGCTTCGATGACCACAACACCTCAGTTCTCTTTGCTGTTCTGGACGTTGCTCCTTGGACGTTCTACTGACGCGAAGATTAGTTTTGCCTCACTGTCTTGCGACTGTTTCTGCGAACAACTTTTGCACACCTGTCCTGAACTTTGGACGCTGCGCACAACTGCTTCCTGAAGGTATCTCACTGGGCACAATATCACCTTTAGACGCAAACAACCCTGTTGCTCTGGCCATTGATGCCCCACAGTCGCCTCCAGGCAGCCCTGCTGCTGGCCCGACACCTGATGACACATTCGAAAACATGATTGCCCCGAACCCCGACCCTTCTAAAAGCCAGGACCTACGCCTTTCCTAGGAGTCATACCGCGACTTTTGATTTCGCTTCACCCAAACTTGGACAAACATATCTAGTGAGGCATCGAATTGACAACGCGGACACAACACCCATTCATCGACACCCTTAGCATGTCTCGACGACCGATTGCAGCGTCATTCAAACGGAAGTTGATGAAATACTCTCTAAGGACATCATGGAGCCATTTTCGAGCCCTTCAGCGTCGCCCGTAGTATTTGTAAAAAACAAAGACAACACCTGGCAGTTCTGCGTCGACTACCGGCATTTCACTGGCACTTCAACAAATCAAAAATATTTCTGCCTATTGCTGCAATAGACGACGCCATTGATTCCCTTTTGGTGCACGGTAACTTTTCTTCCATCGACCTTCGTTTGGCTATTGACAAATAGCTGTCGATGAAAATGATTGGGAGTTAAGTCATGCCCTTTGGGTTGTGTAATGCGCCAGCAACATTTTGAGCGTGTGATGGACTCTCTACTGAGGGGTTTCAAGTGGTCCACATGCCTCTCTGCTGCCTGGACAATATCGTAGTTTTCTCCCCTTACATTCATCAGTCACCTGCAAAACTTGTCAGCCATATTGCAAGTCGTTCACATTGCTGATCTTCAACTCAACTCTTCAAAATGCTGCTTTTTGCGCCTGGAGATCGCCGTGCTTGGCCATCTTGTTGACGCTGCAAGTAAATGAGCTGATCCAGCAAAAATACGCGCCGTCATCAACTTCCCTATTACACGTTCTTCCAAGAGGTTCGCTCATTTTTTTTGGCTCGTGCTTCATCCAATGTGCTTCAAAAAATAAAAAAAAAAACCTTTTCGGAAGCCCGTTGCACGCCAACATAAAAGAACTCTCGTGCTGTGCCCGAACCTCAACGGAGCCGTACATGGTTTACATACAAGATGTCTAGTCTTGTGCAACATATACGTCGTAACACGTGGCAGCTGGCTGTTCGCCTTTATTTTATTTGACTGAAATCCAATGTTGCCTATGGACACCAATGATGCCTCTTTCAACATGCCCACCCACTGAATACGCTCAATAAGCTATAGCCCATGCCGACCATACACGTCAACTTGTGTGCGTTCAGCTAACCGACTCGCAAGCGGGCCAACGATTTCGTTACGAGAGCAGTCATATAAACACTCACTTTCCTCCAGGATTCTTGTGCTGTGGTCTCCAGCACGCTGTATTGGGCTTTTTACAAAGCTACTGTTCCCGCCCTCCGAACCGTACCCTATGCACCGCCAAGTGACCGTCGTGACATAAGAAATTGAATTGTCTTTGTCCTTGTCGACTCAACCCCGTACCAACATCGTTCACGTTGTACGTCTGAAGCCATGTCATACACCGGGCTGCTGCAACGCACATGTATAATAACCACCTCTATATCTTGGACTGCACCGAGTCGGTGCCTTCACTGCCGGAGGGTAACGTTATGTGCCGCTCACATAGAGAGGACGAAAAAGTGAAGGACTAGGTGGTGCCTGCTCTCGCTATCGCAGTTGTTTTTACCCGCATTACTGTGACTGCATATATTGTAAATATACTTGTTTTCAGTCATCTACCAGTAACAATATCATTTATGAAACACCCGTTGGGGCACAGACATATTTTCGGAGAAGGTTTTTGGGCTATGATTTTATTTCGGACCTTACAGGTTTTACAGCGAAATACTGAAGTACCCTATGATGTTCTCCCAGAAGGCACCTCAAGAAACTGCTATTAGCTTCCAGAAAGTGTAGTCACGCGCGTTTCTAGACTTTAACCGTACTTTCCTTGCTCCGACTCGTCTAATTAGCAACATTACAGTGTATTGACAACTTAGCATGGTTTCTTTTCAATCATCTTCTCCATTTTGTTGTTTGCTGTTTATTCTTATTTGATACCTTGCTTGATAGCGGCCGATTGAGCTATTTTGCGTTATGACACGCCGTCCCATTGTATAGTGCACTCATCCTTTTTCTTTCATTCCAATGTGCTGCATCGAGACTGCCACCGCAGCCGTGATTTCAATGCCGTAACCTGCAGGTCACCACTAGATGTGATGGGTTGGTCCTCAGTGCTGTCGGCCCACATCACTCAATGTATAAAACGGTACCAGAACACCACTTGTCACCACCAAGTTCCCTGCAATGCACACTTATGCGTTAACCCGGCAAACTACCTGTGCTGTCAGCAATAGTATGCCCTTCTGTGAACACCACATCATCCAGTGCATCATTATATGATGGCCAACTACCGAGCCCACATTTTTGGTACCGATGTGCCACTTGCATTTTCAATTTTAGCTCAAAACAACAGAGCCCTACTCTAGTCTCAAGATGGTTGAGCCTAAGTGCAGTATAGTGCATTCTGGTCCAATGAAGGTCAAATTGATATTGCCTGTGTATGCACCATGCTTCATCTGTGTACTTTACACACATTGGCATGACAGCATCGTGTCGATAGTGTCCATTTAATATACGTGCCTGCTATGCCACTTCCACTAAAATTCTAACAAAGACTTTGTGCTTTTTGAATCAATACTTCTTTGCAGACTAGTTGGTTTCATACTTGAAAACTCTGCTTGCCGTGCAAGCTGATGGAAAAATGAGAAGGGGGACAGGAAAGAGTACGCTCTTTCCTGTCTCCATTCTCATTTTTCCTTCAGGTTGCACTGCAACCAGAGTTCATTTTGCTTTTCAAAGTTATTACCATGATTGTTCATACATGAACTCACCAATGTGTACATTCACGTATGTCTATGCTTCACACATAAAGTGTTATCTTTGTTGTGCCATTCTCCTGTAAATACCTTCAGTGTTCTCTCATGGGACAGTTTTCATGTTAATAAATTATTATCTCATGTATTGCATATTTATTTTTGCATGGGTGTAGTGGTTACAACAGTTGGCAGCTGTGATTTTAGTAAGCTTTGCCTTAATACATTCTTTTATTGAAGAAGCCTCTCAAAGGAGACATCATGCAGAGTAGAGCCGCATGGAGTGCACTCGACAGGTTCATAGAGAAGGGTGGCAGATTATTTTCAGATCACATAATAACACAGGGGGGCGAAAAAAAAAGCGACAACCACAAACGGGCGAGGATAACTGCGAGTCTAACTTGCCTTCACCTGAACACGGGGCCGTATTGTAGTGAAGCCATGAAAAAAAAAAAAAAAACATCCACGAAGAGCTCTCCAATAAGTTTAATTCTCTTGTCTCAAATTAGTTCGACTAAAGACAATGTCTTGAGGCTGCATGCTTTACTTTTAGCTTCGACATTGTGGTAGTGACGCACGACAAAGTTTTGCGCGCAGGCTTTCAAGGATTTTACGATCGCACGCATGTATCACCACTACATTTCTGTCCTTGCTGCCCGAACTCAGTTCATAGCCTTATTTAAAACGACAGTATCAGAAACGCGCTTTCAATAACAGCATGCTGAGAATCAACAAAAACTCACCAAGTGGAGTTCAGTAATCTCCGGTGCGGCGTTTTTCGCAGCAGGCCTAGGTGTATCAGGCGTAGTCAGTCGACTCGGCTTCAATGCATCCTGAACGGCGCGGCTTTGCGACTCGGCAGTGAAAGGTGGGGCACACGCTTTCTTCATGAGTATCCAACTCGGCGTAGGGCGTTCGTTCAGTGGGAGGTGGGCGCACACGCTTCTTTCGCGAGTATCCTACTCGGCGCAGGGCTTCCTTCCCAGCACTTGGCAACAGGCGTAGTGGCGACTCGGCTTTATTGCGTCCTGAATAACGCGGCTTTGCGACAGTGAGAGGTGGGGGCACACGCTTTCTTCACGAGTATCTAACTCAGCGCAGCACGTTCGGTCAGACGAGCCGCACACGATCACTTCGCGAGCATCCGATTGCAGGGCCATATGCCTTAGCAGGGCTTCCTTCCCGCGAGTGCTGCAGCAGCAGCCTCCGGCAACACTATACGAAAGTGCGGGGGCGACAGCGCGATGACACAGTTAGGCCGGCGGAAATGCATAGCCTCCAAGAGCATGACCTACTACACTCCTGACCTGCCCAGAGAGCACCTCTTCCAGCGCCCACGTTCTAGTTCATACCTTCTGCCGCTAGGGCCGTAACTTAGGAGCACTGTGGCGCTAGTCAGCACCTGTTCGCTGACGTCAGCTTGAGTGTTCGTGGTCATATTTCGGCCAACAGAGCACTCATATTGCGTAATTATTATGCACTAATGAAAAATAATTTTGAAACAAATATTTCAAAAGTCATTCACAAATTCTTTGCAATTAAATGGACGCAACATCACATATGCTGTCCTACACTATGTAAGTCTACGGATTCTCGCATTTGTCCACCAGTGTGCAATAAATTTTTCGTCACACTGAACAGCTTACTTGACCAGTCATCTAAGTGAAAAAATAGTCACATATATGCCGGCTGTTCATCACGGAATGCAGCCGTTCTTACTCTAGCGCCGTCCAAACAGCCGTAAAGTAGCAGACGAACAGGTTATAGGTAGCGCCACCTACGGCGAGCGATTGAACGAGAGCGGGGACACGCGCTCCCATAGGAACCCCGCTATCTGAACAGGTCAGGAGTGTAGTAGGTCATGTCCAAGAGCGCTGGGCCGCGGTGCATTGTGGGTGGCTCTATCCGCTCGCCTTTGTAAACTCGCCGCCCGGCCGCCGCTGTGGGGTGAGGAGGTTCATCGGCGAAGCCACGCTTCCGAGGGGAGAGCGTCGCGCGCCCGGGGAACCTTTAGATGTTTGTTTTCTTCTTTTTTTTCGCTAGCCTCGCGGCGTCACTCCGGCGCGTTATCGCAAGAATTTGGCGGCGCGCCCATTTTGAGCGCTCGTTCTGTGACAAGGGTGAAGCCCTTTGCAGAACATTATCAAGTGTTCGGCAGTTCCTTCTTCTTCTCCACACGTACTGCATACCGTGTCTACCCCTCCGTATTTGGCCCGATATGTCTTGGTTCGCAATACTCCCGTCCTGGCCTCAAATAGTAGAGAACTACCCCGAGTATTAATTATCATAGATCCTTTCTTTGGCAATTACCTGCTTAAATGTTCGATAGATCTCCAGTGCGGACTTCTTAATCATGCCAATTCTCCACATGTCAGTCTCCGTTTCCTTCACTTTCTTCTTAACCGATAGTTCTTTTTATCTTATTTTAGCGCCACTGGTGGCGAACGGTGCAACAACTCGACATTTTGCATAACCTTTGAAATAGCCATGTATATATATAGTTAGGGTGCCTAGTATAGTTGCAGATCTCAACTGACGTGTACCTAGGGGCCACAAGTTAGAAACGCTGTAATAATAAATGGATGGATGAATGAATGTATCCGGCTGCGCCCTTTAGATCGGGTGGTGGCTCACGGCACTGGTCATAAAGTTAAGTACTATCACTGTGTGTTTAAAGATTGAATTTCACTCGCGCCTCGATTGTAGCCACCAATCAGTTAGCATCCTCTTGGTTATTTCTACCCGTTTAAAGTATATTTTGCCCTCACTGTCCCTAAATCCCAATCCTTTAAAAAATTTGACGCCATTATCTTCGACTATAGGGCAGAGCCTTTTACAGAACATTATCAAATGTTCAGCCGTTTTCTCCTTCTCTCCACACGCACTACATACCGTGTCTGTGCCTTCGTATTTTGCTCGGTACGTCTTGGTAGAATACTCCCCCTCAAAGAACGAAGAACTACCCCGAGAATTATCATAGATCTTTTCCCTTGCGATTTCCTGCTTAAAAGTTCGGTAGGTCTCCAGTGATGATTTCGTAAGCATTCCCATCTTTCACATGTCCATCTCTGTTTCCTTCACCTTCTTCTTAACCGATGTTTACTTTTGGCGTGGTATTCTGCTGTTGTCCAAATACTTGCATGACAATTTCTGAGTTTGCTTCCTCCAGTATCAACATTCTTTACTACAAGTAGTGGAAAACTTTCCTAGCCCAACGCTCCTCTCTCATTCTTCTCAATCACTCCTCAAATTTTATCTTGCTGCTAGCTTCCCTGCAATCAAATGATGTCCATCCCATGTCTCCCTGTATTCCCTGATTTGGGGTGTTCCCGCGTGCTCCCAAAGCAAGTTTGCCTATGCCACGTTGTTTAATTTCTAATCTTGCTTCAACTTCTGATTGATTTTATGCACAAGACCACATTTCCGAACGTCAAACCCGAGACTATGACACCTTTCCAAATCTCTATCACAACGTCATACCTATACTGTAGTTCCACAGTGCCCTATTTTTCATTACAGCTGCGTTCCTGGTGCCCTTAGTCATTACGCATCTTTCGTGCTCCCTTAGATACTGAGCCCCATTATTTATCCATACGCCCAAACATTTGTATTTATCCACAATTTCTAGCGTGACTTCCTGTATCTTATGCTCACTGCCTTTAATCATTAAAACTCATAATTGCCAATTTTCTCCTGCTGAACTTCAAATTTAACTTATCTCTCTCATTACCACAGATGTCTATCAATCCCTGCAGATCTCCCTTGTTGTCGGCTATTAATACTAGATAGAGAGACAGGTTTACTTACAGAAAGGCAGAGAGGTCGGCCTGAGCGATAGCTTGCTCTAGCCTGCTACTGTAAACTGGGGGAGGGGAAATTGGAGAAGAAAGACGAATGGATGACGATGGTGAGATAGAGAGGTGAGTATACAGAATTCTTTCTAGCCGAGAAAAATGTTATAGCCGCGCATATAGTCAGTTGTTTCCAAAAAGGTTATAACAGCTCTTATGGCCACAGTTGCACTGTTGGTGTCTGGCCAAGGGCCCAACACGATCTCATCAGTTAATGACCTACTGCGATATCGTTCAGTAGAATAAATCAGTATTTGTCGTTCACGTGCGTATGCTGGGCACTCACAAAATGTGCTCAAGAGTTTCTGGCACATCTATAGTATTCACAACTAGGACCGGTGTCACTGCGACCGATTATATGTGCGTAACGTGTGGTGTACGGCACACCAAGACGAATGTGGCGGATTATTAATGCTATACCATCTACATACATCAATGCTGGTAATGACTATGTCGGCCGCGAGCTCCACTACGCGACGCATGCTCAAAGCTGAGAAGGCAGGACTTTCTGACTCCACTGGCAACACGAGCCATTGATCAGGCATCTTAATAAAGAAGGCGTTGTTCAGGCTAGCCTAGAATACTAGCGGTCATTAGAAAGTGGAGAGCGTAAGCTTTCTAATGCAATAAAATTCACATCAGTACGATGAGCGCAGTAAGTGTAGTGCATCGATATATAATGCGGAGCTGGTGCCGCAGGAGTGGGATCGCCACATAAACGTAACAAATTTTGAGCGCGACCACAAGCAATCTGCTATTCAATCAACCAACTTTGTTGTCGCCAATAAGTTGTGAAGAAGCTAACACTTTGGCATGGCAAACCATGTGAAAGAACCTGAAACAGTCAATTAATATAGCATCAATCCGCCGTCGGTCGTTAAAGACCAAGTCCGGCAATTTTTCGAGGTCAATGGATGTCAACAAAATTCACTGAATACGTTCATTTGCACGTTTGCGCTACGCTAAATTGCCTGCTTGAGAGTTACACGGATTCCTTTCAAATGAATTTTATAGCTTGTCTCCAAATGCTCACCTCGCTTGCCAGAACTAATGGGAACATTGTGTGTGCGACGTTGATTTTTTTCCTGGCGGAAGTGACGGAACTGATGTGTCCCTGCAGCGTCTGCTACCGATTGAGTGGGTTTGGCTAGATTTAGGCGCTTCAGGTTTGGCCGTCACTTCGCAATGCCGGCGTATTGCTGCGTTCATTGCTGCACGCCTAGAGTCACTCGGAATGCTAGAGGGAAAAAGGTAAGCTTTAAATTTCGCCTATTGTTATTTATTTATTTCAAGCTGATAATATTTTCGGCATATCTACTGCTCGTGCTACTACTCCCGAAACCCTTCTTGGCGTTCGTCAAGCAAATAAGACGTGCAACAGCATTTTTACTCGTGTCCCCAGAAATTGCTGCTCGCCGGAGCTAGGAAGATTTTGGAGCGTTTTCGCTACAGCCATTTATCAAGTGAAGGCGACTCGTACGCTTCACGCAGAAGCACCTTCATTCAACGAAGGTTATCGCGGGTAAAGGCGCGTGACTGCATTTTGTTGGATGAGCTGTTTTGTGTATTACGTCTCGGTGACGACACACGCTGAATAACAAGGATGAGTTCTTGTTCATTTTGAAAAAGGAGTGACGGTGCTAAGCATCTTTTTTTTTAGGGGCGAAGCTCCTTATGGCATGGCTTGTGCGTCCCTGTAGTGCGTAACCTGTGGCACATACCCGGATACCAGTGGCACATACCCGCCCTCTGGCCCATATCCGCATGTCCACATGTTACGAAAAACGTAGCATGGCGTAGTTATCACGCTCTCGGTGTTAACAAAGTGCTGACAGCAGAAATGTGGTACATACTCTCGTGTAGTCCTTGGATTGTCCGACGTCTGGTGTTACTTGTATATGATGAATATCTGATAAACAGAAGCGAGGTGGCGATACCAAGAGTTCACCAGATGGACGCACGAACGGGCGCACGTACGGACGGACGGACGCATGGACAGAAGAACGGACTGGTTGACGGACGCTTCGCCCCGCTCGTCATCGTTAATTCCGTGGATATGCCGTTAGTTTTTTCATGTTTAGTTTTTTTTTCTTCCGAAATGTGACAAGCTGCCGTTTAGTGGGATGACTTGCTCGTAACTGCTCGCGTTTGTCAAGCATTCGCTGTGCTCGGCACATTCAAAGAAATGCAGGCGCTAGCCATAAGCCGCGATGAATATATTTGTGGTATGGTGACCTCTGCGTGAATCGTACGGTTCGCCTTCACTCGGTAAAGGGCTGCTAGCGAGAACTTTGTTTCGAAAACTGCCTTGCTTCGGCGTGC